ACTACTACCTACTATATATATATATATATATATATATATATATATAGTGATTTCATGCCACCCCATATATATATATATATATATATGTTTCGTGCCACATTTATATAAGTATAATGAAAATGATCTTTAAAAATCATGTTAGGGCTATTTATTTGACTTCATTTTTTGAATTTACACAGTTACACACTTTTAATTCCAATGAATAATCGCAAAAAACGCAAAATTTGAAAACACACTAGAGTGTTGCTAACACAGCTACCCTGCTCAATATTAGCATGTCTTCTACGCTACTAGAGTGTTGCTGCATTGGTGAGTTACATAGTTGCAGTATGTACCTTGGCCTTTTCATCCCTCAAGGAGATGGCCTCAAAGTACCTATCCATTGGCCATAGGAAGTTGTCTAACTCCCTGGCATCCCTAACTCCACCAAAGGTTTTAGGATCAGGTGTGCATATCTTAGGGGTCTCTTGGGTCACTAAGCCTCTATTTCTCATCTCTCTCTTACATAGGGCCAAATCAATCCTGACCTCATCAACTTGATCTTGCAACTTCACTAGGATCACCACCATCTTTTGTTGAGTATCCATCATCTCATTTAGAGCATCCAACGTCTCATTCTTGAGCTCCTTGAGCCAAGCCTCGAGTCCCTCTATGCTATTTCCGATCTCCGCAAATCGGTCTTACCCATTGCAAGCAGCTAGCTCTAGCCGTGCCACATGTTTCTCTAGTGCCGCTAAAGGGTCTTGGGGCTTGTCCCTTTTCTCCTTTTTGTCACGAGCTTGACTACGAGCTTGGTCATCTTTGTCACCTCAGAAGCCATGGTGCTACTCTCTTAATCTACAAAAACCGTAGCTCCCACAAGCAAGCTTCTAATACCATTTTTCATAGCCTTAGTGAAGTCCCGCGCATCGACCGTGCAACACTCGTGCACTCAACCCTTTGAGGACAAGTTAGCTAACCTACTAATGTGCAAAACCTAGTAATGTGCACACCTACTCACAAGAGTCACCAACTCACATAAGAAAGAAACGAACACATACTAGAAAGGGACACGATAAAAATAGGAAGAGCTCTTGTATTCACTATAACACTGAAATACTTACAAGTTTCTGAGGTACCTCCCAAATGAAAAGCCCTCCTCCCTATATAGGCACTGGGCCTTACAATGAATGGTCAAGATTAAGTACAAGTGTCACCAATCCAACGGTTAGGAACAATTTAGTATACAATGTTATAGAGAACTCCTTGCTAATTCTTTCCTTTGGTTGAATCTAGAAGTCCTCTAGACCTCTCATGATCCACCTAGACTTCTCTAGAACCATATGGGACCAAGTGGTAAAAATAAAATCGGACTATTGTACTCATATTGTATAAGGTATCGCATGAATGTCTTGGGCATCACAAGTGGCACAAGCGGCAGCCTTACCCATATTGGAGATAATATGATTAAGATGGACTGTATTAATTGTACATTGGGTCTAAAGCAGACAATCAGAAGCATAATGTTACTGTCTATGGGGTTAAAGTGAAGGCTTTGCATACTATAGGATCGCAAGGTATCAAAAAACGTTAGGCGGTCAGCTTGACGCCCAACGCCCAGCGCCCAGATCCTCGGGCGCTTTGTAGTGGAAAATCATCCATTTTTAGCCCTGTAGTGGAAAATCATAGCATCTTTAAAAATATTTGCTATCCTAAAGTACATATATGCATATATTTGTGTCAAATTTTGTAATTTATTACATTTCGCAACATATGTTTTACTTTGGGGGTTAAAAAATAGACCCCATAACTTTTTTATACAAACTTGGGGGTCAAAATGACCCATTCTGCCCTTTTGGACGAATTTAAAAAGCAATTTCCGCCTGACCTACCTGGGCGTCAGCCCAGACCTGGGTGCTCGGCGCCCGCCCAGGTAAAAACGCTCCTTTTGGGTGCCTTTTCATGAGGCGTGCAGTTTTTTGTTAAAAAACGCCTAGGCGGGCGCTTAGGCACCGGGCGGACCATTTTTTAAAACAATGTATGCTCATTTTCCTTTGGTATAAGGAGGTCACAATCACTCTAAACCTTCAAATGTCTGTCAAATTCTGAAGTTTAGGCTGTGTCATAAAGATTGAGAAATTTTCTTTTGAATTTTGAGCTTGGTCAATAGCAATATCTCCATCAATCTGATTTTAAATTTAGCAGCCATTTATGTATGATATTGTTGAACCAAAGATAAATGGTCTTAATTCTTTACTTCTCTTAAAGTAAGTTATGTTATTGGTATTTTATATTATCATTTGCGAATATTATTTGCATTGATAAACAATTGGGTTAGGAGTCTATTTGGGAGATTTGATGCTGTCATTTGTTTATATTTCAGCTTATGTTTTTCTCTCTCAATTGTCCATACCATTTGGAAGATCTATTTTTGCCTATTGATACTATTGACTTTATTAATGGTGAATTGTCAATGAATTTTTGAAATGCCATAGTGAACTATTGCATTTCTTATGCTGTACATTGAAGAACCAGTGGTGGTTGTGTTATCATTTCTTATTTGTATAGTTGAGGTTACTCTCCACATTGAGAATGAACATATAAACTTACTACAACAGAGAAATTCAATGATGATTGTTTAGATCATAGTGGTTGGGACCTCCCAACTTAGGCAGCAATCCCACTCTAGAATCTTGCACCTGCTATCCAAGAAAGGGATCTTTGTGGTGTCTTGATTTTTAGAGCCGTGGATCTTGATCCCTGATGTTAGGGGTCTCGATTCCTACCTTAAAGATCAAGATAATGATCAAGCTGATGATTGTCTTCATTTAATATAGTTGCATGATTGGTTGGCTATAAATAAAGAAATCTCTGCTTTAAAGAGTATATATAGTCCTAGATATATACTCTTTAAGTTTGGAAGCAAGCTCTGGAAAAGGTTGTAGTGATCGAGATCCCCAAAAGTGTTTCAACTTCTAACATTTGGGGATCTTGATCCTTGAGATCGGTGTTTCAAAAAGCGCTAGGTGGCACCTAGGCGGTCAGGGGGGTCCAAGCTGCTCAAGGCCTAGGTGGGCGCCCAGAACCTAGGCGGCCTAGTAGAAAAATATTTTTTTTTTGGCTTTTCTCTCTCTAAAATAGTCTCTAATAGCTTTTAGGTTTCAAATGAAACCCAAACCCATAATTTTGCCCATTTAGTATTAAAAAAAACCCAAAATACCCTCAAGGAGCCGCATTTCTGTCTCTGGGTGGAGCGCAGGCCTTGGGCGGCTGCCTAGGCGGGTTCAGGCAGGCGCCCAGGGATATCTGCCTAGGCGGCCGCCCAGGTGTTGGGCGGTCCGTTTTTTGAAACAGTGCTTGAGATATGCTTTGTGCGGACAATACTCCTAACCATAGGGATCCTATAGCTTTTCATGGTCCCCCTCTCCCACTCCCTATCCCATCAATTATGGTTTAAATACTTGATTTGTGGCTTGAAATTGCTATTCTTGTTCTACATTCAAAATCTATTTTGCTCGCAAAAAAATCTTGTCATGTGAATGTTTAGTTTGCAAAATTATCCTCAATATCTGTTTTTATGAAGATTTTTAAATTGAGATTTGGACCCACATTTTCTGACCCCTGTGACTCCAATGTTAACTACAGTTTATACCTTACTCTTTCGTCGAGAAAGAAGCCAGCCATGTCAAAGGTTTCAGCCCAGAACTAGCAGTAGTAACAATTGGAGGGGGAAAAGAACTTGAAGAGAAACTTGTGGTATTTTGCATCTTGTAGAAGTGCTTTAGTTGTTAATTGTGAAACCCATATATGAGATTCGTTTCGCATTAATCTGGTGACTTGTTTCATTTGAATTTCTTGGTAAATTTCTACGTGATTGTAACATTACCAGGAAAAGGGAGTTTTGGTTCTAATTTATTTACTTGCACTTTCGAGGACTTGGCCAGGTGCGACCAACTAGTGAAACCATTGTTAATCACATGTTTACTCAGTGGATTCATAGTTATCGAGATCTTCCACTTATGGTTAATCAGGTAAACTTCTATTGCTTTTTTTGAACATTTTGTCCTATTTCCTGTCTCAGTTCTGAGAAAGTATTCAATTTATTATTTGGTTCTTTCAGTGGGCAAATGTCACGAGATGGGAAATGCGTACGAAACCATTTGTGAGGACTCTTGAGTTTCTTTGGCAAGAGGGTCACACAGCTCATGCAACTGCAGAAGAGGCAGAAAAAGAGGTATTTTTTTGCTGTACTTCATATTCTGATTCATTGGGCCAGTGATGTTATCTGGTGGCGAAGCTTATGGATGGTATTATTTCGCAGGCTTTGCAGATGATTGACGTGTATAACACATTTGCTTATGAGCAAGCTGCAATACCTGTCATTGTAGGTCGCAAGTCGAGATCCGAGACATTTGCCGGTGCTTCATGTACATACACTATTGAAGCAATGATGGGTGATCGCAAAGCATTACAAGCTGGAACCAGCCACAATCTTGGGCAGAACTTTTCACGTGCCTTTGGAACACAGGTCAGTTTGATTGCTTTCTGTAGCATGGATGAAACCGCTAGATTTAAGATTTCTATAAAGGGATGGGGTACTTGTATTATGGCCTGATATTTCTTAACTGAGTACATATGTTCTCACACTTGTTAAACTATGAGACAATGTCTTGACTGTGCTTTCTTGAACACACACACACACACACACACACATAAATATATAGTTGTGAGAGCAGGAACCTAGGACTAACCCATTTTTGAAGCTCCCTAGAATGGGCTTATAAGGGAATGTTCCTAGAGTATATGCTGTATGCACTATATGTATGTGAGAGCTTTTGCAGGAAGCATCCTTTATAATACACATACACCCTCTCTTTGTTTTCTAGAAGTGATTAAAAAATTTCAAACTGCATAATCCACTGCTTTCGCATTATATATATGGGTGAGATTTGAATTAGTGTCAACATTATATTGTTGAAATAGGGTGCATCTCAAAACTATGCGGAAATATACAGTTTTGTTGCTGGAAAGCCTTGTGATGGCATGAAAATCTTTTGTCACCTCTAATTGTGAAATTTGAAGTTTCAAAATTACACAGGTTGAGCAATTCTATAAATAATTAAATTTTGTTAAAATGAAATGTTCAGATAATGCATTACAAGTTATATTTTCATGGCTTGAAATCTTCTTTTTTAAATCCATACATCTCGAGGTTGAGATGATCAATTTGACGGTTTTTAGCATTATAACTTTTTCTGATGGGTTTTTGAGGTGTGCCTTACTTTAAAATAGTATAAGATTGATACCATGTATGAGGTAGCTGCCTAGTGGCAAGGGCAATTTCATCATCTCCTGCAGCAATTGGTGCATCAGATCCCTTGTGGCTAGTTGCAGCGCTGACATATGCTCTCTAGGGCGAGAATCATCGCCAGCATCGAGTTGTTTTTAATAATGCCTTTGTGTCAATGTTGAGGTGGTCATTGTTAGGATGACTGTCCCAATTCTCATAAGTTGACTTGTAATCTGCACATATTGTACTCAACAACCTATCATTACCGTGCTTGTAAACCAGTGACTTGGACTTAGCATTATCGTACTCTTGAAGCTGTTTATGTATTTATAAGTGCTCCAACACATACTCTGTATTTGAGGGATTGCTGGTTTGTGATAGTGCTTTCATAGTGAGTGAATATAATTCTAGCACCACAATTGTACAAGTCCTGCTAGAAAACGGTATTAGTCAACCATAGTAATAGATTGTAGAATAACAATACCCTTTTGTCACTAACCATATCATTGTTATGCTTTTGCAACTGGCCAATCTCATTCTCATCTGAATTAACTTTTAGGGTTTTTTTGTTTTTTACAAGTTAACACCTTCATGTCATGATGGGGTTTCCTCTACTTTTCACTTTGGCATTAGAACAAAGGCCAGGTAGTGGAGAGGGAGATTCGTCCTCTACTCCTCTCTCTCTCCCAACACTTAAATTCCATCACCTTCTGATAAAGAGTTGATGGATTGTACAAAGCAATTGCAATCTCTTGCAAGATTGCTCCCTCCCTCATAGGCATCTCCTATGATAGCTTTATCGCTCTCTGCAAACTGGATGGTCTTTCATATTGGCCTTGTGAGCACAAGGTTCATCTTTGTCTGTCTCCAGAATCCCTCAAATGATTGCGCGGCATACTTTGCTATTTTTGACATCTAGTGGTCCTTGCTTACTCCTCTCCCAGTCCCTCGCTCGATGCTAGAGATGTGAATGCAACCTTACCCTCCAACAATCACCTCAACATGATACAATGGTATCTGAACCTTGTCTTCTTGAATACAAACACCTAGCAAGATTGTGAATGTACCATGTGCATCGGTTGCTTGCAGTTTCAGCCATAGTTACCAGGATCATCTACTTTGGTAGGCGATCCTTTCTGGGATCTTGATCCTAAGATCCCGAAAAGCCATCTTCAGGGATCACTGTTCGTTTGGAATTTAGGATCTCGATCCCTTTTCAAGGGAATGAGTTCCATTAATCATTTGTTTGAGTTCCCGGTTTCTTTGGGATCTAATTCCTAAATGATAAGGTTCTCAGTCCAAGAGTCATGGGATACATATTTTATTACATTGTAACACAAGGAACTCCGTATACTGCATCCAGATTCTATTGCATCGTAACCTCTACCTTAGTCGAAGAGTCATGGGATACACATTTTATTACATTGTAACACAAGGAACTCCGTATACTGCATCCAGATTCTATTACATTGTGACCTCGTTAATCATTACAATAGCTTTATGTGGACATTTTAGCTATTGCAAAATAGATTTTGGCATTTTCCTTTGACCTGAATTTTTTATCTTTTTTTGAACTTTTTTCTTTTATTGTCAAATACAAACTAATTCTCTTTTTTTTTTTGAGCACTGCATCGTTGGCATTAAATGTATTTCTAAATAGAATCTTATCCCAAGGTTACGTTTCTCTACAATATTCATCATGCTCATAAATGATTCTCAAGTTAAAATCAATGTTTAGGAAGATATCAGTGCTCTGAATCGTTGGGGCATATATTCGATTCACCCAGTTTAAATAAGGTGATTGTTTATCCGAATTAGTGTACGGATTGAATTAAAAAGAATTTTAAAAAATAAAAAATAAAATAACGGGGAAATCAGGCAACTTGGATCCCCCACCTCACTGTTTCCAATTTGAGCCAGTTGATTCCAGTTTGGTCACCTTTTTTTTTTATAACATGTTGAAATTGTCAGATTTTAAACTTACCAATTGCTTGCAAGTGTATTGATGGCTTGCAGCTTTTCCCACGTTATGGAACATTTCTTCTGTACATGGATATGAGATCCTCGACCTCTAATCCATAATCCATGGGATTTAAATCCCATGAGAGAAGTCATTTTGGCTCCAATGGCTCATAAGTTCACATCCACTCATGGTGGAGGAAACATGATCGTAAGTGATGAGGTTGGCACTCCCCCAAGGTCTAAGGTTCCGTTCCCGCTCCACCGGATCGAGGAGCTCCCTGTAACTTCCTGGAGTTACTATTGAATCCCATCTTCAGGATACTTGGTTGCACTTGTGTTTCAATTGTCCTTTAGTATGATCTCTCTGTTTTTTTTTTTTTTGAATGTTCCTTTAGTGTGATATCTTGCAGCAAGTTTGAACTAGCTTGGTGAATGGTGAGTCTAATCATCATCATCATCATCGTCATCAACATCATCATCATCCAAGCCTCATCTTAATTATGTGGGGTCAGCTAGGATTCATGATAAGATGTGGCAAAGTTTTACACTGACTGCCTATCTAATGCAATCCACTTATTTAGTAAGTGTCGCAAAGTTTTATGTTGGTTGTCTATCTAATGTAACCCACCTACTTGGTAAGTCTGATCCTATTTGGTTATTTCTTGGGCATGAAACTAGGTCTGGCTATTTGGACTTCAGTCCTGCTTATACCATCTAACCTTTTTATACTATATATCTGTAATTCATAATGAACTGTTTGGTTGTGTTTGGCTGCTGTTTCAACCTGAAAGATGCCGCAAACTAGGTCTAACATTCAGCTTTGATTTGATCATTTGTAGTTATTTGAGCAAATGCTGGAATATTACTTGCCTATAAGTTTGTATATTCAATAAATGCTAGAATAATGCATTAAAGGGTAAAATATTTACCTGTCAATTTTCTATGATTGCGCTTTGCTTTATTTTCTGGATAATACCGCGTAAACAAATATGTCAAAATTTCCTTATTTGGAGATAGCTATGTCTGCTAGATGAAGTGATAGAATGCTTGTGAGCTTTCTATTGGCTTCCTGTGATGTACTTGTTTATATTGCATAGCATTTGATTATCATTTTCTGTGATTTATTTGTGAGGATTTCAGAAAGTTTTTACTCTGAACAGGAATTTTGATTTCATCATACTGTGCTGTGTTATATTGGCGCAAGTTCTTGTTATTGTGTTTGGCTGGAAATGAGTCCAGGAATTATTGATCTCCTGTATCCATAGGAATTGTTCAGCAGCAAAGACTTTGCTATATGCAGATGTGGGATTCTTGAGTTCACATGAATTAGTATGATTACTCTTGATAAATTTTCACATATTTGATCCTGGGCAGTTCGCTGATGAAAATGGCCAAAGGCAATATGTATGGCAGACGTCTTGGGCTGTGAGTACCCGTTTTATCGGTGGCATTATCATGACCCATGGAGATGATGCTGGTTTGATGCTTCCCCCTAGGATAGCACCAATACAGGTGATTTTCTTGCCATTAAATGTTTTGTATTTGTTTAGAGTTTTCTCTTGCAGTTTACATTTTGCAAAATTGTTGCTCAATGGATGTGGGATGAGCACCTTTTTTTTTATTTCAAAAAGTTGATAATATTATAGAAGTATGTACACATTTTATCATGAGATTTGAGGGAGGTTGCGGACATGCCGGATGCTCTATAATTTAAAACATATTGACCCAAAAATGAGAAATCAGAAAAAGAGATGACTACCAGTAAACAGAGGTGGTGAGAGATACCCATCAAACGGGAGCTCAACACTTTCGAGATTTACATAATCATAGGAGAAAGAAAAGTAATTTCAGCGAACGGAGAGGAGATTGGAGGAAATGAAAGGGGTGTTTTTTTTTGAGGGCAAAGAAGAGGGAGTAAAAGCAAGAGGTAGAGGTGACCCAACTGTCAATGCTGTACCAGCCAATGATCTGAACAGTATAAAAAGATAAAAAAATAGTGGTGGCGCAGCTGTTGATCCTGTACCTGGCAAAAAGCTGAAAACCACAAAGGAGGGCAAAAGATAGTGAAGGCAACCCATAATCAAAGCTCAACGCTAACATAGGTGACATGGAGAAAACATTGGAGGTGAGAGGAAAGGGGGAGAAAAAACAGGTGAGGCGAGAGAGAAGAACTCAAAGGTGTGAGAAATTGAGAAGAAATAGGCGAAATGAGAAGGAATTTTGGGAAAACAGGAAATGTGAGAAATGAAGAGAGAGATTCAGGAAAAGGAAGAAAGAGAGAAGACCGAGGGATTGAGTGAGTGAGAAAGAAAAAAGAGAAGAGAGATTTAGGGGGGAAGGTGGCAAAACAGAAAAACTAAGGGAGAAGGGTAGAAAGATAAAATAAGAAGCCATCCGAACAAATTTGGACACGGAAGCCGAGGGACGCTTTCTTCAAGTAGTGCTTGTTGTACAACCTTCAGCAGCACCTTCTTTAGCCAAGGCATCTACTGCCGCATTTGTCTTGCCAGGTATCATGGAAGGTGACTTGAAGATGCTTGCATAGATGAAATACCTGATCAAAAATTGGAGAGTCTCCACAGTTGTTGATATTTTCCAGTGGCGCAACCTATAATGTTCTCACAGTCCCCCTGCACTACAAGAATTTTTTGCCCAATCTTGGTTGGAGTCTTTTCAAGCCTTAAAGAAGAGTACCTGGCTCGGCCCCAAATAGAAAGCCCGATTCTTATGTATTCCCGGGAGGAGGATAGAACATTTACTTATGAGTCACAAATAATAGCCCCAAACTCATAACGGCCAAGGCTATTGACAGATCACCTTGATATTAAGTTTGATAGTTTCATGGCTTGAAGTTTGAAGCCCAAAAATAGTGAGATAGTTAACATATTCTGCGACGGCTGGCGTGGGTCTGTACTTAACCCTGAACATCCTAGAGTCGCATTCACCCAAATTGTCCACAGGCTGGCTAACACAGATGCTATCAAAATGCTAGTAATCCTGGTTTGGGGTATGGCCGGGAAAAATCAGCAGAAAGCAGTCCTCAAAGTATCTGTGTCCAGAGAACTGAGATAACACTGCCGTGAAGAAGGAGATGGCTGTGATTTTCTTTAGCTTCTCTACATAAATAGCAACGATTAGCCAGATTGAAACCTTCTCTTTGTAGCTGGTCCTAGGTTAAATTTCGGTTGCAAACAACTAGCCAAGAGAACAATTTTACTTTGGGTGGGATTGGAGTTAGCCAGGCCTTTGTCAAGTTCGAAGGAAAGGAGGGACTGGAAGCGAGAGCATAGGAGAAAGAAGAGACGTTCAAAAGGCCAGAGTTTAGATGAGATGTCATTTCCCAAACTGGTTATGAAGAACAAATGTAACAAACAAAGCAGGTCTGAAAGGTCTTTGGTTTCGGAATCTTAAAGGCTCTTTGAAAAGTGCAACTCCCCCCGCTCCCTAATGTAAGTGCAAACTTCTCATTTGTTAAGAAGTGCGATTTCTCATTTGAATAGCAACCAAACCCGCCTAAGTCACATGCCTAATTTTCATTTTTTAATAAAAATCAGATTGGGATGAAATTTTGAGGGCATGTGTGCCTCATGCCGGTGCATCTCTAAACAATATAAAAAAATATTCAGAAAATGACCAAATACCCCTAAAAAATTGGGGTATTTTTGTCTTTGTTTAAAAGTACTTTTTCTTTTTTACTACTGCCTGAGGGTGACAAGTATAACTGACCAAATCTCATGTACTGAAAAAAGGAAAATTAAAATTGAAGTACTGAAACGTGCTTTCAACCATCCAATCAAGATTGGATGGTTGAGATTGATAGCATTTTACATGTGAACTATAAATACATTATGTGATCTATGCCATCACTTTCTTAGACCTACCATGGATGAGCCATAATTTCAAAATCTCATTCATCCATGAAAATTGCAATGAATGTTAAAACCAGTGGTTTAAAACACGGATCGGTGCCCCAGATCGGGTACCCCAAAAACCCATCAGAATTGGTGAATCGGCGTTTCGGATCGGGAATAGGCCGAATCTGTGAAACAAATTCAAAAAAATTATTAAGAATCACTATAAATGTTGTTTTTTAGGAATCCAATAAGAAATGAGGGTACTACATTTATAACTTTTATTTTTTTGCATCAATATGCGAATATTGAGATGTTCTTTCCTTGTATGAAGATTCTCATCAAAGATATATTAAAAACCTCACTAAATACAATATTATACATTGAAACTAGAATTATTGGTTTGTATTTTATTATTTTATCATAATTTTACTATACAAATAAGAATAAATTTGAAATTTGTCTTATAATATAATCTAATTTAAAATTCCAATTTAGAACTATAACAAAAAATAATACATTACATAATTTATAACGTAAATAAAATAATAAATAAAATATAAGATTTGATTATCATTGTAATTAGTATAATTATTAATTACAATATTATAATAAACATGATTCAAAAAACAAGGGTATGACCCTCATAAATAAATAAATCTAATGTATAATAATTAGTGTTTATAGAAATATAGAATTTAGTAACATAAATTTGCAATCATATTTTAATAAAACTAGGAAAATAAATAAAGAAATTCATATTTGCAATGTGGGATAATTGATAAAGCAACTTGAAATAAATTCTAAAGTGATATGAGTTAGTGTTATTTTTTTCTCTTAAAATATCATCTGAACTAATATTATTTTAATATTCAATAAACTAGTATTAGTATTATTTTTTTTTTTTTTTAATATCCTATGAGCTAGTATTAATTTTTTAATCCCAATTAACTAATTAATTAATTCTTAATTATATAATGAAATAATCCCATGAGATAATAGCCTAATAGAGTCTTTTTTTTTTTGGGGTAAGTAAATTTAAATTTTTTTGGTGAAAGATAGGGGTGGTCATCTATTATTTTTAATAATTTTTTTCTTTTTTTTATCATATAATTTAATTGCCACCATCGGGCATACGCCCTTATTCATGACGTGTTCTCATCCCCACCTAATCGTACACCCACGTAATATAGTACACTTAATAGTATTAGTTTTTTATTAGATATGAAGTTTATTGAATGCAAAAGTGTATTAGAGAATTGTCCCACATCGAAGGGATGTGGGAAGAAAAGGTCGTATAAAAGACTCCAACCCACCCATAACAATAAGTATTAGTGTTACAGGGCCACGTGTAAGTGGGCTTTTTTGACATAAGCAGTTGAGGGTTTAATTCATGGGCCAGGTGGGGCATGTAGTTCAATTTTTTAATAGAAAAACGTTACTGATGAGTCAGATTTGGTGATCCATGACATCACTTGGTGACTCATGATGTCATCAGGGCGATTCTAGGTATAGAATCGTTCGTATCCCTTTTTTCTACACGATCTGAGACCGGCTGAGCGATACTCGATCTGGATCGCACGATTCCAGATCGGGTGGTCGATTTTTAAAACACTGGTTAAAACTATTGATTTTCAGATCTTCAGGTTTACGAAATTTCAGGTTCAACTAAACACAGATTTGTTGATTTCTGTATAGGTTAACAAGCACAATGTTTCTAACTAGATACGAAATTGTCCAACATCTGAATCTCATAACTAGAAACACTAACTTATGTTTCCAGCTTCCAGTTGCCAACATCTGAATCTCATACTAGATACGAAATTGTCCGACATCCGAATCTCATAACTAGAAACACTAACTTCTGTTTCTAGCTTCCAGTTGCCAACGGCCCCTAATGTAATTAGAACGTTTATTAGAATTGAATCTGAAATTGAAACTTTTGAGAAAATAAAATAAGAGAAACTCATCCTAAAAAACATGAAGCAATGCTCGAATTTTTTGAAAGTCATAACTTTTTGCTTTGGTATCAAATTTTATATTATGATCCTTTCTAGAAAGGGAATCGAGAGCCCTACAAGAGTGAAACTGCTATGCCAGCTTCGCTCGGTGAACTAGGCTGAAAAGGGCCTCTAAAGACCTGAATCTTGGTCCTAAAGTTTGCTTTTCAACGTCAGTCTCCATGTCATTTGTGATATGATATGGTGATATCATGTTATTTTGTTCATCTTGAATGATAGATCTTTTTGGTGATGTGCTTGGGGATTGGAAATTGGTGGTTTTCTCTGGATACCATGTAGCATATCTGATTGTTGTGAGGGAGAAACCTGCTCCTGGATCTCTTAAATTGAATTTTAATTGTTGCTCATGAGATAATCTAGGATTGGAGAATTTTTGTGGTATAGGATCCTACTCGGGGCCTTTCACCTTTTGTGTTTCCACATTCCCAATGGTGACATTGCAGCTTAGTGGGTTGGAAGTTTGTTCTATTGCAATGGGACTTCCTTTCTTACTTAAGGTGGCTTAGCTTTCAAAAAATAGAAAATTTTTAAGTTGGTTATTAAATGTGATCAATTTGGCTTTGGATGGAAACGATTATCTTGTTGCATTTAATGATAATCCTTACAAATTTTTTGACACCTGCATGGCTTGGGAGTTGGTTTTGTTCTTAACATGCCTTTAAGGGCATATGAGAAGGCCGATACCCATTTCTCTTAGAAAGCTCAACAGTAGTACTCAAATCTGGGGTGTATGGCATCATAGTTGAGATTTTCCATCTGTGGTGCTTCTGCTCTACCGCAGGTTTGCAATTTGGGAGCTAGATCTTGTTCCCTACATACCAGTGATTTAAAAAATACTGGGTCGGCACAGAATTGTCCTGTCTGACCCGAGAATCGATCACCCCATTCTGGTTCTACGTAAATACAGGAAAATGGTTGAATTTAGAAGGAAACAGGTTGTTCTGACGTAAAACGGTGATTCACTATAGTAAAACAACAATTTGGACTGCTGATTCACCGATCCGGACTGGTTTTTGGTCGGTTCATTGTTTTTTCATGTGTTTTTTTGCCGGTTCACAATTTTTTTTGTATGGTAAAATGGCTATCCAGATTGGTTTTTGGGGTGCCTAATCTGGTTCACTAATTCATTTTTTAAATCAGTGCTACACAATCTCTGCCTTCTTGGGAACTCTTTAGTTCAGTCATTAAGGTAGAGCCAATTTGCTTCATCATCATCATCAGAGCCTTTACCCATCTGTTTGGATTCGACTGCACAAGTCTTGGTTCGTCATTTTGCTTTATCAAGGGCCATACGCTTAGTGAGGCCATATGTCCCATATCTTTTTACACTACTGCCCCCCATGTCCTTTAGGACATACCCCTTGCCCTTTTTGAGTCTTCTACTTGAACCAACTTCCACCTCCTAACAAGTTCTCTATTAGGTCTACGTTGCACATGGCCCGCCCACCTAAGTCTATTGGCCATGTGTGGCTCAGACATAGTACAACACTTAGTAGTTGGTGCAAGTTGGTTCAAGTGAAAGGCTCAAAGTGGACAAGGGGTAGGGCCAAAAATATATGGTTGGAAGTATAAAAAGATATAGGAACTTTGGTTTCACTGAGGGTGTGGTCCTTGATATAGCAGAATGACAGACTAGGATTCATGTTGCCGACCTCAAATAGTTGAAAGAAGGCTTTGATGATGATGATGGATATTGTAAGTTCCCTAATGGAGCCCAAAGGAGAATCTCGCCCTTCCTAATGAAAGAGTTCCCAAGAAAACAGAGAATGGACTTGCATGGGCCGTGCTATTTGATTCTCCATGCATAGAGATCATTGGAATTCAAAAAAGAATATAGAAGAATAGAACATTTGGGTCCCCGCCTTGAAATTTGTTATCGACATTCTACTCTTCATGGGAATTGAGCCTTCTTTTGATTCAAGGAGAAAAACAAATGGATTTTTTTTGCTGGGTTAGTGTTCTGATTTTGTTCAGTAATTCAGTTTACTGCTTGACATATGCTGGTCTTTCTTTAATATTATATAGCATAGTGATAGTGGCAGATGCTGTTCAATGCTATGGCCTTCTTCATATACATGGGGGTTCAATTTTAAAACTGATTGTTGTTTCCTTATAAAACAATATCAGGTTGTGATTGTACCTATCTGGAAGAAATCTGATGAGAAAGCAGCAGTTCTCAGTGCCGCTTCAAGCCTTGAGGAGGCATTGAGAAGAGCAGGTGTTAAAGTTAAACTGGATGACTCAGAGCAGAGGACCCCTGGATGGAAATTCAATTTTTGGGAGATGAAAGTAGGATCTCTTTCTTTGCATATGTTGTATTTCGATCTTACAATCCATCAAAGTTCTCAGCCCTAAAAAAGGCAAACTAGGGTTGCAGACATTTGAGCAATAATAGTTCATTTTTTCTTTAGGGTGTTCCTCTAAGGATTGAAGTTGGGCCTCGAGATGTTTCAAACAAGACTATTGTCATTTCAAGGAGAGATATTCCTGGAAAGCAAGGGAAGGTTTTTGGGATATCGATGGAACCTTCTATCCTGGAAGCATATGTCAGAGAGAGGTTGGAGGAAATTCAATCTTCTCTGCTTGAGAAGGCTACTGCATTCAGAGACAGGTTCCTCTCTATTTTTATTCCACTCTGATGAAGTATGATTTTTTATTTAGCACTTTACAAAATTAAATAGGTTGCTCTTTGACTACCTTGGTTGAAGATTAATTCTATAGATGCTAAAATGAATAGATTTTCTTCTAATGCAGTAATATAGTGGATGTTAATTCCTATGATCAACTAAAGGCAGCAATCTCTCAAGGCAAATGGGCAAGGGGTCCATGGTCTGCCAGGTAAATTTTCTCCATACTCTCTTTTTCTAGTGAGCTTAATGTAATAGCAGTAACTTAGGCCTTGTTTTATCTTGGATGACATAGCGATGCAGAAGAGTTGAGAGTGAAGGAGGAAACAGGTGCAACAATCAGGTGTTTCCCTTTTGATCAGCCTCTTGGACAGAAAACTTGTTTGATGAGCGGGAAACCAGCTGATGAAGTAGCAATATTTGCGAAGTCATACTGACTCAAGAGGTAATGTTCTGTTGCATGAGCTGTTTCTTTTTGCAAGCAATTCTAAAATTGATCAGGGTTACACATGTGCCTCTACCTTTTTCCCTTTGCTTATTTTGTTCATTCTCGAAGCAGTTGAGAGTTGCAATTATATCTCGAATTTTAGCACCATTTATCCTGTTTATTTCTGGAATGTACCTTGTTACTTATCAATTCCTGCTCCATTTATCTAATGATGTAATAAATGAGGAATTTGATTCTCTTATAATTTGCATAGCCAACAAACTACTCAATGCTAACCAATGCATATATCAAATGCATAGAGCTTATGTTATGTCCCTTCTTGGATGGAGTATAGAGTTTTCAATCCACATTTTTATATTCATTGTTAGATTTAATTTACAATAATGGTGGATATGTTTTTCTGGTAGGATAAATGAGTATCCTATTCTCAACATGATCGGATGGTAACCTTCAACCTTAAAACAGAATAATTTCATGACTTCAAGTGAGACAGGTTCGGCCAATCAAAGTTCCATCCGAGTTCGTTCAGTTTTCAAAGCAAATTGGACGATGACCTGGGTTTTGCATTAATGCTCACCTCGGGATAGTGTGTATCATTCCAATTTTTTGGATTTCTCCAAAGAGACTGACCTCTGGATGGTCAGATGTGGCCCACAAGCATGGCAAATAGTTATAATTCAGCACTGCATCACAGCAACTATGTGCATTGTGAAATTTGATGTTGCATTTTGTGCCCAGTCTAGTTTGTTGTGGAAGTTTCGAGAAGCCATCGCATCGAAGATGGTTTTGCATCCCTTTTTTTAGAATTTGTAGATTGTATTGTTTGCAACAGAGGATAAAATAACTTATTTATAAATAAGAAAGGAATTGTATACTGCAAATGTTTTACTTTTGGTTCAAGGTCATGACTATCTATAGCTGATAAAGGTGAAATTTGACAGTTTTAAGTGTGTTACAAAGTTCAAAAATTTTCTTGTGTACTATAAGTCTGGTCAATGGGACAACCCTGGCCACTTGATCACATCCAAGGGCCAAGGTTGTTTGTGATACCAAAAGGAAAATGGTCTCGTCATTTTTTTCTTTTCCATGAGAGAGAATTGTGGTGGTCATGTGGGACCCCATTAGAACATTTGGTATTGTGGTCAAAACACCAAAAGCTCGGGCTTTTGATTCGCTGGTAATCATCTTCTATTGATCTGTGAGCTCAATCTTGCAAGGATATGAATGAAGGAAGATTGATTGGAGCATAATAAAAATGCTCCGAATTATTTTTCAAAGATTGACCTTGGGTTGCTTATATAGATCTTAAGATCAAGTTTTTTAGTTTACTTTCTTGAAATTTATTGCAAGGTGAGCCAAAGATGCTTGAAAATTCTCAGGTCATTAAAATTAGGGTGTAAATGGGGTCGGAACAGGGTTAACACCTACCATGACCAGATCCGATTGGGTCTTGGTTGGATTTGGGTTCGACCTTAATTGGGTTAGTTGGATCCAACCCAAGCCGATAAAGTCCATGGTGGATCTTGACAGGACCTGACTTGGGTTGGATCCTAGTCAAATGGATCCAGAATGATCCACATGGTCCAATGTCTGGTTCCAGATTGGGACCAGGATCTGGTCAAGCTGTTGGTTCGGCTAGTGGGTCAGGCGACCCAACTCGATTGCCACCGGAAATTAAAATCCCCATTAACTAGGTTTTCTGCCCAATAGACTGATTGTACAATGTGGTTGGTGCTCAAATAGCCCGGTTTGTATGTACATTTATTAAGAAGCAATTCTAATCTCACCCCAACTATTCACGAGTAAAGGAGGGTATCGTTACAAGCAAGAGCTGTTTCTCTCCCCTTCTAAGAAAAGGCGGCAGAAAATTATCCAGCCCACTGAAGGAAACTAGGAATGCATGCGTTTATAAATAACCTATTCATAAGCAGGAATATGAGAAATTGTGGGAGCCGAATCGGGCATTTGACTGGACTGAAACATGCGTGTCTTCATGTAGAGAATTGTTTTTGTGAGTTTTGGCCATGTTTTCCATTTGGTAAAGGAAGAAGTTTATATTGAGTGTTAACATTATACTGAAGAAGTAAGATGAACCTTAAAAATCCACTCACAAGGTTGTCTTGATGTCGAAAAACCTACCATTGATCATCTCGACCTTGAGAGAGAGATGTATGGCAATGAACAAGAAAAGGACTTTGTCCTAAAAATGGTGGATTTTGTAATATATTATCTAAATTGTCTATTTTAAAAAGCATTTAAGTGTTAATAGATCTTATCAATGTATACCAATTTTTGGAGATTTCGTAATTATGAGTATTAGGGCATCGTAGGAGTTCCAACACGAGAATTACATCATTTAGGGTTTAAGGTGGGTGTTACTCTAATTGTTTAAGGTTGATAACTTATATAAACTATGCCTTTTAGTAAAGGAAAAAGCTCATATAAGGGTGGGACCCTTAAACAATCAAAGACGCACCTTAAAAATTCATTAGAAGATGTTGTTTCGATGCGAAAAAACCTTCAAAATCGATCATTTCGACTTCAAGATTTATGGACATGAGAACATATGGATTTCATGTCGTGAAAATAGTGCATCTTGTAATGCATTTTTTAGACCATTTATTTTTAAGATTTCCAAGTATTCATAGATCTTCTCAATCTATACCATTTTTTAATATTTAAATTTTAGAATTAGAGATGAAATTATATTCTTAGGCCATCACAAAGATTTTAAGCATTGAAATAACATCTTTTGATACTTTTTGAAGGTGCTCCTTATTTTGATTGCTTAGGACCTCGGCCTCGGCCTTATACAAACCACACCCTTTAGTAAATACTATTGATTGATTTGAAGTAATTACAAAAAATATTTATTTTTTTGTAAATTAAAAAATAACCCAAATTCTTGAAAATCTGCATCCATACCTATTTTGTCAAAAAAATTTTTTGGAAAAAGTTTATATAAGGACGCTACCTTATAATGTAGAACTACGGATGCCCCTAAAAAATCCATCGGAAAAGGTAGTTTTAATATTGAAAAAACCTTTGATTGATCATCTCGACATCGAGATATATGACTATGAAAAATAAAAAAAAATTAAGTCTCAGAAATAATGCATTTTACAACATATTATCTACACCGTTCATCTTCAAGATTTTCATATGTTTATAAATCCACTTGATTTTAACCATTTTTTAAATTTGAAAATTTTAATTAGTTATAAAAATAGATTTTGAGATAATCCTAAAAACATTTTACATCAAAATTATAGGGCATGATAAAATTTGAAGGCGCACCTTACCTCTACACCTACAGATGCATATGTATGCCAACTGCACCCTTATTTTCTTAATCCCAAATGCCCATGAATCATCATAGGGTTAATATGTCCATGATGTTCCAAGGCCGGCCTCTTGGTCCCCACAGTAGACCATCGTGGTCGTACTAAGACCGTGGGGCTAAAGAGACCGATCTATAAAGAGCATGGGAAGTAGGTGCGTGAAAACTCCTCTATCAGGTTCATTATGGGCATTTTGGGTAAGACTATGGACGTAAATTCTAAGGAATTCAATTATTTTTAAATTGATTTAAAAACTAGAATTGTTTTTATAAAGAATTGTATACAGTGAGACTATTTAACTTTGGTACATGGAGGTCACAATTACATACTACGATCCCATGTGAAATTTGATATCTTTGGTATGTTATAAATTTCGACAAAATTTCTTTTGAATTTTAAACTTGATCAATAGAATAAATGAATAAATGCCACCACCAAACTTCACAACCAATAGTCAAGATGAACTGTGACCACCTTGTACCATGGTCTCATTACATACTTTCCCTTTTGATAATTACCCTCGATTTAAACCCCATCCCTCCTTATAAGAAAGAAGGGACAGTGGTGGAAGGGTATTCCTTGTTCTTTGCTCAAACCTTTCCCTTGAAGCATGTGAGTCTTAAACATCAACCAAAATGTGAAATGATGGAGAGGTGAGTGCCCCTCCATTTTATGGAATGACAAAATTATTACCTTAATTTGTTAGGGAAAACTATGATGGGGATGACTGTATGGTCACAAGGCTCTTGCCCCTCACACACGTTGCAAATGTCGAGTAAGAGCCAGTTGCACCAAACATTTCAATACTTCAACTCACCTCCTATTCTTCGTCCAACCTCCAACTTAGGGTTTACCATGAAAAACCCTAACTTTATATGTGAGTTTTGCATATAAATTGCATGTGGAGGCTAGTCTAATTGTATGTTAACACTGATGGAAGCTTTCATCAGTGTGGATATTATGGGTGCAAATATGCTAGGGCTAAGGCCAGGCCTAGAAGAGGTCCAAAAGAATAGCCCCTGGACAGGCTTACTTCAAAAAAGCCAAAAATTAGGCCCAACCCTGCACAGTTATTTCAAAAGGAAATGTATGCAAATATATCATTTATCTTCTGTACATGAAGGTCACAATCATTATTGTCCCTTAAATTTCAAAATAGATGGTTATAAGAGTGTCATTTAGTAGATAAGAAGTTCCAAAAAGATATTCTCAGACATCGTAACTCATCCTAAGCCATTCAATTTGATATGAAATAAGTGAGAATGATTGTGACTTTCATATACAAAAGATAAATGTTGTGGTTTCTATAAGGTTGCAACCTTAAACAATCCAAATTAAGGTGCACCTCCAAAATTTATTGTCACATATAATTTTGGTGCAAAATTATTAGGATTATCTAAAAATCTATTGTCACATCTAATTATAAAACTCGAAAAATAGTTAAAATCAAGTGACGGTCTAGACAATGTGTTGGAAGGTGCACTATTTTTGGGATTCAAAATCTTTTTTATTTTTATTTTTTATCTTTTCATATTCATACATCTCGATATCAAGATGATTAATTATAGGGTTTTTTAGCTTTAAAACAATCTTTTATCATGGATTTTTTAGTTGCATTTTTAATTTACATTTTAAGGTTGCAACTTTATATAAACGTTTTCCAAAGATAAATGGTCTCTTTGTAGACAATCGCATTTCAAATCCCCATGCAAGGCATGTATGGAATGAAAAATTTAGTTGCAATAATAAAAAGAATTTGAGGACTTGTATAATAAAAAGGGGCCAATTATATATATATATATATATATATATATATATATAGATAACTCCCTTTGCAATCACATGCACCACAATTAAATATAAAAGACCAAAATCAAATAAGTTCTCTCTCCTCTTACTAGCACTATCCTAAAAAGGATGTAAAATCTATAATTCTTTTGAACTTCTTATTTAGTATGCCTATAAATTTGTGTTACTCCAACTCTACTACTTCTCTCTCTCTCTCTCTAAAAGCAAATATATTTAAATATATTTGAGTAATTAAATAATATATGTAAAATTAAGAAGACAACTATGATAAGCTCTCTTCAAAAGTGCTCCGCATTTCTTTGATCGAAGAATCGATTTCTCTCGAGTGACTATACAAATAACTCGGCTCGAGGACTGTTTTTCCTAAACAAGATACTTTGGGTAGATGAGTAATAAATTCAAAAATAACTTGAATCCAAAGAACTCGTTAATTATCTTCTTCAATTTTTTATGGGTCTTTCCAATTTTTTTGTTCCATTTGATTCACAAATTTATCTTGTTTTCTTCAACTAATTTGCGTGCTTTGGAGGTTTTGACCTCCTGATTGACTGAGCAGATATTTATGTGATTATCAAGGAAAAAGAAGACTACAAAATATATATAAATTATGTCAAATGAAATTCTAACTTGAAAACACGCCAGGAAATTTGATCATCCTTATGACATCACACTTACGTTTAATACAATGAATTTCTCCAAAAACCGTCATGAAAATAATATGCTAAGCACCA